CTCTCCCCCCCCCCCCCCACACACACACACACACACACACACACACACACACACACATCATGTTCTTACCCTTAGTTCATCCAAGTTATAGTCACCATACTCTCTCCTGGTTCCCTTGCCATTGGTCAGTATGCCACAGCCACTCATCATAATAGTACCTGACAGGAGATAAAACATCACATCATACCTCCAGGTTAGATTAAAGTGAAACAAAGACTAGGTTCCCATACCTAGAACAATCTAACAGGATCGATCCATCTCTGAGGGGTTCCTTGCTAAATTGGCTTAGATGTCTGGTACACCTACTGAAGCTGCTAAATGTTTAATACACCCCCCCCCCCCCCCGACAGCTTCATTAGGTGTGACAGGCATCTAAGTCGCTTATTAAGTTGATTGCAGTTTAGTGAATATCCTCAAGGAAATAGATAGATCCACAGTAAGTATGATAGGGTCTGGGAATGGTCGCAAAAATATGGTTTGCTAGTTGTGTAACTATGAATGTTGGTGAATCCAGGATTTTCCCTGAGTGGGAGGGGGAAGATTTTAAAACTTTGTCCTGCCTCTCTCACAAAATATAAACAACAGATGTATGACTGGTAGTTATATGTGTGAATGCCACAGAACTGGCACATCCTTCATTTTTTTTGTTTTTTTGTTTTAATCAAAAAGGGGGCACAGGATTTTGAAATATGACCTTGCTTCATTTGTCAAATATATAACACAATATACATAAAACAGCAAATGTGGGCAGCTGTAGTATATTATATTATAAACTGCAGTGAAACCAGTAAAATTTGGTCATCAAAATGTATAGTTAATGGCCACTGTCTCTGCCCCAGAACAGTAGATTTTTAGTCAGTATAACCAAGACGACTCAGAAGTGAACAGAACCTACCTGATCTCATATTGGTCATAGTGGCAGGGTAGTCCAGAGTGACGGGGTTGTGGGTGGTGATGCCAACCTCAATAGAACCAGACCACTTGTCTACCAGACGCTCTATACGGATCTATGGAATTTATTATTATTATTATTATTATTATTATTATTATTATTATTATTATTATGATAATAATATTATTAAGAGCCTTAAATCCAAATACTTTCAAAACACCTTATTATGTAAAATTTGTAAAATATTTTGTCTTTGTGTAATGATGGTAAAAAAGTAAATCCTTAGGAAGCGAAACTGCATTATTTCTACCGTTGAGGAATGACTAAAAAGTATCAATATTGATCTAGGAGGGACAAAGGTACAGCAGGAAAGTGAAAGAGGCACTACACTTTGAACAAGGTCTCGGTGCCTTAATCACCACCATGACCTGCAACCATATAACTTACCTCAAACAATTCATCATCTTTTAACGGCCTGTTTGTCATGACAACCCCATTGTTGAATTCATCCAGAGGGCGCCTCCTTTCCGCTGTCCTTCTGTTATTGGTCAACTTAACGAGGCTTCCACAGCGTTCGTGGAAAAGTAACCTCTCATTGGAATGGGCGATCTGATTTGAGTTGTCTGCGTTGCTAGCACCACTTGTCTGAGCTATCTCATTGCTGAATGCTGAAAGTAAAAAAAAAAGTACACATAATAAAAACAATTATTAATATTGAATTTGAGCCGTACTAAATTAATCACTAAACCTGTTGTTCAAATACATTTGTAGTTCAGCTGAAAAGTCCTGGTTAAATTATTTATTTAAATATAAGAATGACCAATTTGTCAAAAAACAACTGAATATTTATAATTTCCTAAACTTAAAGTAGAATATCACATTTGGCTTCAATTCAGTATGAAAGTGTGATTTCAGCTGCATGCATCAATCAGTTCCCATATGATCAATACATTTATCTGCATTATTCTATACCATTAAAACTTCCTGAAGACCAAATTCAATCTGATTTTGTGGACAGTCCTTTTTAATTGAATGTTACATGCAGTGAAAGCATACATACAGGACATACACAAACGTGTCAAAGACAAAGTGCAGTTTATTTCCCCACCACACATGAAGATGCACAGGGAAAGAAAGGGAAAAAAGTCTAATTCAATTTTGAAAGACAAAAACAGTGCACTGCTGGGTGCTAATTTGCACTTAAAATAATCAGTGGTCCCAAGACAAGCTAATCAACGTAGTCCCAAGACAAGCTTACCAATGAAACCAATCAATTTTCAAATTCTCTCCTTTCTATCTCAGAGTAACAATTGACTTCTCATCACTTTACAACAGACAGTGGCCTGCACAAGACTTATCATGCACTTGTATTTTGATTATTTCTTTTTAAATTGAGACAAATTTTCAACCATGATAGTTACTACTTAAAAGTGCATTTCAATAACAAGGTGTTAAGAATGCAAACATCTACGATTTAGATGTTGGAATAACAAGGGTAACGAACTTTATTTGCTTCACTTCGATTGCCAAATATAACACAGTAGATAGGAGAATTTCACTGTAACAAGTAAGGCCTTCATTTGATTGAACTCTTTTATAGGGGTCAATGAGAAGGAGGGTACCTCAAGAACTAAGAGAGGGACAGATGACTGTGTTTTCCCTTGGTCCATTACCACAACTGACCACCTACCTGTCTCCCTATTACTGTCACTGTCTAACACAGAGACCTGAGCACACTTGCCGTAGAGGTCAATGACTGCATAGACCTTGTTGGGAAGGTTACTGACGGCTTCGCCTTGATCCTGACCATTAACAAAGAAATGGAGTTCTCCATTTGATGTCTTCATCACTCCAACCTGACGTGAAAATAAAGGTCAATGGATACTTAAATTGTGACATTCTAAAACATTACAGTAAAGTAAAAAGTAAATTACGCTACTTCAGATGCGGCTCAGCACAGTTTACAGATGCCTGGTCATTTTATGGGCCCTGATACAATCTGGGTGTTGACGCTCTGGCCTCTCTGAGGAGCATACAGCCAAGTATGCCGTATGAGGTGCTGAAAGCTAGCAAAAGAACAAATATCTTCCTCTGTCTGACCAGGAATTCTACCCATGCTTCAACCCCTAAGTGCTGAATTTCAAGCGAGACGACAGCAGGTACCATTTATAAATTACTGGTATGTCCCAGGATAGGGTCGAACCCATGTCCTCCCGTTATGGAGACGGACACTTTAACCACAAGGGCATCCAGTGGGTATAGATAACCGAGTACATAAACTATGAAGCTGTTGACTTATTTCCAAAATCTCCCCCCCTTAGATAATGTCAATTTAATAACATTTTCAAGAAACTTATATATTTCACTGTAACCAATTACATTTTAGTGTCAACATCATTTAAAATCAGATTTTATGGAATACTCTATAGACAATTTAATCACCACTATCATCACTATTACATAAAATAATAATAACATTATATCCCTATCAAGGTATTTACTAATTTTTTTTTGTCTGTCTGTTAGCAACATTATTAAAAAATCTGTAGATAAATATTATTATTATCATTATTATTATTATTATTATTATTATTATTATTATTATTATTAATCACTATTATCAGTTAGAAGTCATGACCATACCTTATCTCCCTCGTCCAGCGTGTCCAGATCAATTCCATACTCCTCTATTAGAGAGTGACCGTCCTTCAGAATAGAACTCCCAGACATCACCCACGTATTTTCACGGAACCCAGTGGCACTTGTCGGGAAATTGAGATGGTTCGGGTCCGAGGCAGTGACTCCAATTTCTATAGATCCACTCCATGAATTCACCTTAAAGGAAAAACAGATGTCATTTTACTATTAATTCTGATACAATACTGAATTTTATAAGCTGAATTGTTCGTGTCAACAAACAAACTTTAAATCTCTACCATATAACTTTTAATGTTGTTTCATTATTCCCATCATTTGCAGATTAATCAAATGTTCTTTCCCAGTAAGATATTTCGACTGGAGTTCCTCCAAGATTAGCTATATATTATAAAATAATAAAGTGGATAAGTTTTCTTGTGTAAACAAAGATTAAAAAATTGCCAAAAACCTATGTTGAGAGGAGAATAATGAGATTCTGAATAATCAAAGACTAGAACTTTTTGTCTTGTGTGTAGTTAAGATATTACATTGCTCATAAACAAGTGAAGTCACGTCGAGAAAAGAAACTAGAAAAAAATCAATAAATTAAGTTGTATATAATCAAGTATAAATCTTCCTATTTTCTGAATAGAAATTCCCGCTCGTGTTCAGTTAAATAATAGTAAAATGTGCCAAATTACAAAATGAAATCTCCAACATTCCACAACTTTCATTTTCTCCGTTCTCGCCGGGTGTTAAAATCACAGCGTGAAATCATAACAAATATCGGTGAATAATTCAGTGACGTACCTTGCGGTCAATTTTCACTTCAAACAGCTGATTGTCCCGCAAAGGCTCGACGCTGAGAACCACCCCATTGTTAAACTCTTGATTCGGGTGATTTCTCTGAGCTGTGCGGTTGTTATTACTTAATGTGATGAATGCGCCAGCTCTCGAGTGAAAACTAGCTGACATCTTCTTCACTCCGCGTGAATTTGCGAGTTTCTGGGAGATCTGCCCATCAGCTCTGCAGAAACACAGCGAACGGGGAGTTTTTCACCGTTTTAAAAACATGGTGTATTCAATTTGTTTTGTTACAATGTGTAAAAATATATGTCAGGCAAATAAATAACACAGGATGAACATTGGAAATATATTTGTGTATTTTATGGCTTCCATGTTACAAATTTTACGGATAAAATGATCACGTGACTGAAAACTACGAGATGGCGACCGCAATGTATTTGGAGCACTATCTTGACAGTAGGTTTATGAACTAATTTCCGACAAATGTTTTCATTTTGAAAATGAATTTTTAGTAGATCGAATGTTTAGTGTGTGAAGATTGTGAGGATTCTTGTTCTTAGGCTAAAGAAAGTCAGAGAGACCAACAAACCCACTAAAAATTGCTCGATTTAAACTTGATAAAAAATTGCGCCATTTTCCCCACAAATAAACAAAAAATCACAGCCAGTCTGTTGTTGTTAGCTAGATATCAACATTATGTTCGATTATTTCAACCTGTTGGCAAAGAAGAAGACCAGTCGCCGACGACTTTAATGGCATCTTTGACATAAATCCCGGAAATTGAAATTAGCGCCAAGTAGCATCAATCGATTATTGTTGACTTGACCTAGTTCTGATTGAAATCAACGATAATGGTGGTGACCTTTTGAAAGCCCAGAGGCCAGAAGAAGGGGGGGGGGGGAGAGAGATTGGATGATAAGCTTCTTATACGTGAAACATGCTTTCTGCAGACATCATATCGACAGATTAAATTACACAAATTGCTTGTTTTTTTTTACTTAATTTCTTTTTAATTTTTGGAGTTTATTATTTTTGCTTAATCATTGAAAAGATATTTAAAATGTTTGAAAAAGGATAAAGATAATTTATAGGCCTCTTCTATTTTTTCTTGAAACCATATGACATTTTGATATTTTAAAATTTACTTACAGATCCATATTGAAATCCGTACAGGCAGAGAGTAAACGCTAGTCCTTTTGAACTTTTTTTGTTTCTCTTATTATTTATTTATTTTTGCTAAGAATAAAATTTGATACATCAATTTCAAACTTGGTTAAATCACAAAGCAGGTGTGGTTTATTTTGGTTTTAAAATGAACAAATACTGGATGAGAAATTAATTTAGCTTAGAAGAATAGGGCCAGATGATATTGTAATATAGTGTGTTAAAATCATTAGAGTATAGATACCTTCTGTAGTGGGACACGCTTGAATAACGGTAAAGATATTTAGTATCTTGAATGACATAAAGGATAGCATTGGGATAGACATATTTTTAAATCTTGAACTATTATTGAAGGATGTTCAGTGATTGTGATGCTATTTATAAGGCTGTTTAAATTGTCATGATATTATATAAGATTATTGCGATTTTCTTTTGCAGGTCTAGAATGTCTGCCAATGGAACTCCAGAGAAATTTCAACTTAATGCGGGATTTGGATCAACGATCACAAGGTATATTAACGTGAAGAACACATGCAAAATACATTTACCAACAAAACACCTGTGACGTATTATACAGGAGAATGCAAGACTGAATCTTGGCCCTGGATTTTAGACTTCAATTTTATTTACAACTTGCAGCACAACTTGAAATATAGGGATTTTAATTTTTTTTTTTTTTCATTTACTCTGTATGAAGATGAGAGTTAAAGCTCTCACAGTTATTTGAATTATAAATGAAATTAAAATCATTTTCAGTGACAAATTTCATAATATGTGTACCATACAGTAATAACATTATGTGGTTAATTCTTTATTTTAGATGTATTAAAAGACATTGACAAAATGTCAGAAGAATATTTGAAAAATGTCAAACACTATTCATCAGACAAACGAACAAAACAGATGGACAATATCAAGAAATTATTTGGGAAGAGCCGAGAATACGGAGATGACAAAGTACAGCTGGCCATGCAGACGTACGAAATGGTGAGATTTTGTTGAGATTCTGTTGAGATGGAGGACAAATGGTTGTCAAGAAGCTATCAGAATTTTAAAGCAGAAAAATGGAGCTTGGATTTTACTACAACTAAGAAGAGAGCAAGAGAATGTATGTGTGTGTTAGTGTGTGTGTGTGAGAGAGAGAAGAAAAAGAGAGAAAGAATTCAAGGAAAAAGGTATTAGACAATGGCTGCTATATTTACTGACGTTTTAGTGATAGTAATGTAAACAATGATGGAACAAAAATAGCAGTGAAACGGCTACATTTGGCTTTTCTTAAAAGAGCATCATCAGGCTAAATGCCCAAAGGTCTTTTGGTGTTGATACACCTGTGAACCATTCTCACTCAGGATAGTCAGTCACTTGGCCAAGTATAAGATACTAGACAAAGATTATTTTAAAACTATGATATAAAGGGCTTGAGAACAGGGATGGAAAAGGTTGTGTGTTTAATATGTCTATTAGCAACCACACTGAGATCAGTGATATACAAGAACAAGTCATAATGTTCTTACTGTTATCCTATGGACATTGAGTGTGGTACATTTCAGGTGGACAAACATATACGACGGCTGGACTCTGACCTTGCAAGGTTTGAGGCGGAGCTGAAAGAGAAGACGTTAAACGCCAAGACGGGTGGGGGCAGTCAGAGTACCCCAGGGCCAGACACTGGGCAGAAAAGTAAGTGTACAGAGTAGTGGATGGGGGCAGTCAGAGTACCCCAGGGCCAGACACTGGGCAGAAAAGTAAGTGTACAGAGTAGTGGATGGGGGCAGTCAGAGTACCCCAGGGCCAGACACTGGGCAGAAAAGTAAGTGTACAGAGTAGTGGATGGGGGCAGTCAGAGTACCCGAGTAGTGGATGGGGGCAGTCAGAGTACCCCAGGGCCAGACACTGGGCAGAAAAGTAAGTGTACAGAGTAGTGGGAGGGGGCAGTCAGAGTACCCCAGGGCCAGACACTGGGCAGAAAAGTAAGTGTACAAAGTAGTGGACACTGGAATCACTACAGTGATTACTTGGTCTTTTCAATAGGTTGAAATGATCAAATTTTCAGATACATGACGGTATAATCATGATAAAAAAAATGGATATGGCATTGGTGGTTTTTTTCACTGTATAGAATAGAACTATGCAGTGGCCTTTTTTTTTAAATTATTTTGCTACCACTCTATTGGAATGTTGTCATTTTAAGAAATTATGGCTTAAAAAATACAGTGTCTGTAAAATTCGCAAATTTCCCCATTAAAAGATTGACTAATTATGGTATAAATATCATATGTGAAATAGTCCTGTGCAGAGGTTTAGCTTCTAACGTTTGACACTCTTTCCATTGCTGTTTGTCCATGAGCTGCATGATGTTTATGGAGTCCAAATTTTCTTTCTGAAAGGGCATTCTGGACTTCAAAGTTTTAAATTATTTTATAAAATATTTTATTATGTCCCAAGTGTAAAAGACGGGTGTAACCAATGATATATGTGAAAATGCCCCTTAATTTATAGTCTTTCAGTATTATAGTTTTTGTTTGGTATAATGCTTTATATGCTCTCTGGACTCTTGGATCATATCTATTATATAATTATGTTACTTTTATATATTTAAATGATTCATATTGTGATAAGTTTCTTGTATTATTAATGATTTCTTTATTTATTATTTTAGAAAAAGGTGACAAATCAGAGAAAAAGAGGAAAAAAGGACAAAAAGATGATTTTGATGATGAAATTCCTAGAAAGAAGAAAAAGAAGAACCAGCCAGTAGAGCCAGAGTAAGTGATATATTTTTATGTTATACCATATATATATATATATTTTTAATTCTGCCATTTTTATCATCATCTCTAAGAAGGTTATGAACGATGTGAACATTAAGTCTAATTATTGGGATCAAAGGCCAACAAGAGTGCTTGTTATTCACTTATATGAATTTTCAAAATTAGCCATCCAAAATTGAAATCTCTGTAGTTGAATGCATTTTGACTGATGTTAACAATTCAAGATTTTGAGCCATAACATAAAGCCTTGGTCACTTTGACACATTTTTTATGTACAGACACAGATGTGTCTGTACATATAGCCATCATCTGCGTCTGTCGTCGCCGTCGTCGTCGCCGTGCACTTTTACCGATAACACGATAAGTGGAAAACCATTTTACCTTTTGACTTGAAACTTGCAGAACTGATAAATGTTCATAATACGCCGGTCAAGTTCGAAAATCAGCATGATCGGGTCACTTTTAGGGAATTTATGCTGTTTTTTCACTGTTTTCAGCATATATGCAGCACCGATAACACGATAAGTGGAAAACCATTTTACCTTTTGACTTGAAACTTACAGAACTGATGAAAATTNCCGCTTTCACAAAACTAACCCGTAAATCAGTAGAAAATCTTCTCCAAATTTATAAAATCAACAAAGTGCACTTAATTTTCTCCATTTTTATCAGTGAATAAACGTAAACTATAAAAACACACAACAGGCGGTCTTAATTTCGGAACATGACGAAGTGACAGACAAAGTGTATTTGTGACATGTGACTAAATGTTGTCGAGAGCAGTTGCCTCGTTTCGCTCTGTCTCGTATACTTCAAATAAAGCACAGAACTGCGAAAACGAGGCACTCACAGGGAGATGGCATACGCGCATGCGTATTTTCGTTACTACTAAATCAAGTGCTCAGAAGCATGGGATTACGTACAGTATGTAAATAGAATGCCATATTTGCTTAGAAATAAATATAAATTTCAGTTAGCATGAGTGAAAATATACTTTTTTGTTCCATTCAGCCCAGCGAGGCGGTGCTTTCGACAAATTTCAGCGCGGCGCCTCGCTCTTTATATGCTGGAGAAACACTGGCTTTTATTTACGCTAAAAACAAGTTCGAGTGTAGTGCTTGCGACAGGTCATTAATAACTATTAACTTGTCAAATGAAACGATCATCAACATTTCCGAAACGATCAAAAATATTTCCAACCGGCACAGTTCCAAATAACCGTGCCGTGTGGAAAATTATTAATCGTGCCGGGGAGAATAAGATCGTGCCGGGTGGAAAATTTCCGGAAAAAAATAAACGTGCCGGCACGTTTATTTGGCACTTCAGAGTAAGGGAAATCATGTCACTTACTGTTATCAAACTTACAGGAAAGAAACATGGGTCTAACATACAGCTTCAAAAGGCAACGCAGTCTGTTCGGTAAATTTTTGTGGCAATTTAACAGTTTTTTGTGAAAATTTAATTTTTCACTTATTTGCATCTTTATTTTCTGTTCTTTGTCTGTACATTTGACAGCTTTGCTGCCTTGTTTTTCTTTGGAGAGGGGGTTAAATGATGATTGAAGTTCTCTGATGACAATTTACATGATGTTAACAGTTTCTGTACATTTTCATTTGTGTATTTATTTCAGACCTGAGCTGGTGATGACCAACACCATACCTGCCCTGCCGCTGTCGATTGCACATCCCTCAGACGTGTTGGACATGCCTGTGGACCCCAACGAGCCCACGTACTGCCTGTGTCATCAAGTGTCCTATGGTGAAATGATTGGCTGTGATAACCCAGATGTGAGTAGAGGAGAGGGGGGGGGGGAGAGAGAGAATCAGAAAGAGACAGGCAGTGAGAGAGAGGGGGGGGTAAAGAGAGAGTGACTGAAAGAGATAGATAGAGAGAGAGAGAGACCAAAAGACAGGCAGAGAGAGAAAAAGTTTGGAGAGAGAGGGGGAGAGAGAAAGGCAGAGAGAGAGGGAGGGAGAGAGAAGGAAAGAGAAAGGTAGTGTGAGGGAGAAAAGGCAAAAGGAGAGAAGTAAAGATAAAGCAATAGGAAAGGATACAAGTGAAAAGAAGACAAGGAGAGAGGGAGGAATTTGGTAAAGGAGAGGGTGTGAAAAGAAAAGAGATACAGTAAACTCTGCATAAAATTTTAAGTTGCACAAATTTGAATTAGTTCAGTTCAGCTTACAGCAGTACTGTTCGTGTTTTTACAGGTGTCTGGCAGTCTTGCAGATAAGTAATGTGCTGTAATTATCTAGTAAGGACTGAATGGACAAAAAGTGTTAGTTGCTGTGGTTTAGTTAAATTGATTTATTATTATAAATACACTATACTTGAGATTATGAAAACAGATACAAGATTTGGCCGCAAAATACAAATTGCTATTGACATAAATGAGTTTTCTAACTTTGGTTTCAGTGTCCTGTAGAATGGTTTGGCTACAAAATACAAATCAATATTGACATAAATGTGTTTTCTTTCTTTTGTTTCAGTGTCCTATAGAATGGTTCCATTTTGCCTGCGTTGGCCTCACTACCAAGCCAAAAGGGAAGTGGTTCTGTCCGAAATGCACGGCGGAGAGGAAGAAAAAATGAGATGCCACATTGGAACTCCACTGACTGAAACATCATTTGATAAAGATATTAAACTTTTGGGTCAGTTCACCTTGGACTGTCCGACTCTGTGACACTTGACCAGATCTGCAGTTTACATCCTCAGCGTATCATAGACTCCTTTTTAGCAACTAATTTAACCTGTCTAAACATCATCTAGAAATTATGTGAGCAGATTCATGAGGATCTGTCTTCAAGAATATTTTTGGAGGCCCTTTTTGAGTCGTTACTTTTGGTGCTGTGAAAAATTTGTGAAATTTCGGCACACTTGTCACTAGAATTGCATTTATTAATTATTTATTATTTATTTATTTATTTTGGATGATCACATGAAAAAAATCATTGGGCACACTTAAGCATCATTAAAAGTATTTAAGCTTAGTCAGAGTTGAAGGAGTAAGAAGACACTTGCTTCACTCTTTGAATCTTTGTTAAGAATTCACCCAGAGATAACTTTTAATACAGCAAGACAGTGCATTCACATAAAGAATGACTAACTTGTTTCCTGTTGCCAACTTTTAGAGTCTGCAAAAATGTGGGATCAAAATTTCAGTTTGTATCAATATTGTGTCAGTGTCTCAGTGATTGCCCAATAGAATGCTTGCTTATATCTTCACAAGGGATTGCCCAATAGAATGCTTGCTTATATCTTCACAAGGGATTGCCCAATAGAATGCTTGCTTTTATCTTCACAAGGGATTGCCCAATAGCAATGTAGCATATAGATTTAGGGATGTCCAAATAGCATGCTTGTTAACGTCTTCATAAGGGATTATGTTATCATGTTAGTTCCTATGTGATTTGTTGATTTGATTGCTCGTTAAGACAGTTTTGCAGTTTGATTTAAACATTGTGAACACATGTTAATGTGAAAATCTTGGGGCCTCCTGCCTGTTTCTTTGATTGATGTTAAATGCTTGCCATCCCTCACAAACACATTTAACAATAGTGCATGTATAGTAGTTACTGATTTAAGTGATGTCGATCACTTTGGAACAAAGAGTTATGAGAAACAGGAACCTTAAACAGTCATGTTGATAATGCATGTATATTGATTACAGAGAAAGAGTTCTTTTGAATAATGTAGCAATCAAGAGCAATGTTCTGTGGTAACCAAAATTATCTGGATTCTCAAGTTTCAACAGTTTTCTTTTTATGTACAGACACAGATGTGTCTGTACATATAGCCATCATCTGCGTCTGTCGCCGTCGTCGCTGTCGTCGCCGTCGTCGCCGTCGCCGTGCACTTTTACCGATAACATNTCTATTTTATTTTCATCATCTTTAACAAGGTTATGATGGATGTGAAAATTTAGCCAATATTTGACCATATATACAGGTTTTATCAATAGTGGGATCAATCAGGCCATCAAGTCTTCTTATTATTCAGTTATAAGAATTTTCAAAATTGGCTGTCCAAAATTGAAATCTTTGTATTTGCAAGTATTTCTACAGGAGTGTACAATTCAAGATTTGGAAAGCTTTATTTATTTATTTATTTATTTATTTATTTATTTATTATTATTTTTTGGGAGGGGAGATAAATGATGATTGAAGTTCTCTGATGACAATTTACATGATGTTTACAGTTTCTGTACATTTTCATTTGTGTATTTAATTTAGACCTGAGCTGGTGATGACCAACACCATACCTGCCCTGCCGCTGTCAATTGCACACCCCTCTGACGTGTTGGACATGCCTGTGGACCCCAACGAGCCCACGTACTGCCTGTGCCACCAAGTGTCCTATGGTGAAATGATTGGCTGTGATAACCCTGATGTGAGTAGAGGAGAGGGAGGGGGGGGGAGAGAGAGAGAGAGAATCAGAAAGAGACAGGCAGAGAGACAGAGAAAGGGGGGTAAAGAGAGAGTGACTGAAAGAGATAGAGGGAGAGAGAGAGAGAGAGAGACCAAAAGACAGACAGAGAGAGAAAAAGTTTGGAGAGAGAGGGGGAGAGAGAAAGGCAGAGAGAGAGGGAGGGAGAGAGAAGGAAAGAGAAAGGTAGTGTGAGGGAGAAAAGGTAAAAGGAGAGAAGTAAAGATGAAGCAATAGGAAAGGATAAAAGTGAAAAGAAGACAAGGAGAGAGGGAGGAATGTGGTAAAGGAGAGGGTGTGAATAGAAAAGAGATACAGTAAACTCTGCATAAAATTTTAAGTTGCACAAATTTGAATTAGTTCAGTTCAGCTTACAGCAGTACTGTTCGTGTTTTTACAGGTGTCTGGCAGTCTTGCAGATAAGTAATGTGCTGTAATTATCTAGTAAGGACTGAATGGACAAAAAGTGTTAGTTGCTGTGGTTTAGTTAAATTGATTTATTATTATAAATACACTATACTTGAGATTATGAAAACAGATACAAGATTTGGCCGCAAAATACAAATTGCTATTGACATAAATGAGTTTTCTAACTTTGGTTTCAGTGTCCTATAGAATGGTTTGGCTACAAAATACAAATCAATATTGACATAAATGTGTTTTCTTTCTTTTGTTTCAGTGTCCTATAGAATGGTTCCATTTTGCCTGCGTTGGCCTCACTACCAAGCCAAAAGGGAAGTGGTTCTGTCCGAAATGCACGGCGGAGAGGAAGAAAAAATGAGATGCCACATTGGAACTCCACTGACTGAAACATCATTTGATAAAGATATTAAACTTTTGGGTCAGTTCACCTTGGACTGTACGACTCTGTGACACTTGACCAGATCTGCAGTTTACATCCTCAGCGTATCATAGACTCCTTTTTAGCAACTAATTTAACCTGTCTAAATATCATCTAGAAATTATGTTAGCAGATTTGTGAGGATCTGTCTTCAAGAATATTTTTGGAGGCCCTTTTTGAGTCGTTACTTTTGGTGCTGTGAAAAATTTGCGAAATTCCAGCACACTTGTCCCTAGAGTTGCATTTATTAATTATTTATTATTTATTTATTTATTTTTGATGATCACATGAAAAAAAAAATCATTGGGCACACTTAAGCATCATTAAAAGTATTTAAGCTTTGTCAGAGTTGAAGGAGTAAGAAGACACTTGCTTCACTCTTTGAATCTTTGTTAAGAATTCACCCAGTGATAACTTTTAATACAGCAAGACAGTGCATTCACATAAAGAATGACTAACTTGTTTCCTGTTGCCAACTTTTAGAGTCTGCAAAAATGTTGGATCAAAATTTCAGTTTGTATCAATATTGTGTCAGTGTCTCAGTGATTGCCCAATAGAATGCTTGCTTATATCTTCACAAGGGATTGCCCAATAGAATGCTTGCTTATATCTTCACAAGGGATTGCCCAATAGAATGCTTGCTTTTATCTTCACAAGGGATTGCCCAATAGAATGCTTGCTTTTATCTTCACAAGGGATTGCCCAATAGCAATGTGGCATATATATTTAGGGATGTCCAAATAGCATGCTTGTTAACATCTTCATAAGGGATTATTGAAGTCTAAAAACATCATGTTAGTTCCTATGTGATTTGTTGATTTGATTGCTCGTTGAGACAGTTTTGCAGTTTGATTTAAACATTGTGAACACATGTTAATGTGAAAATTTTGGGGCCTCCTGCCTGTTTCTTTGATTGATGTTAAATGCTTGCCGTCCCTCACAAACACATTTAACAGTAGTGCATGTATAGTAGTTACTGATTTAAGTGATGTTGATCACTTTGGAACAAAGAGTTATGAGAAACAGGAACCTTAAACAGTCACGTTGATAATGCATGTATATTGATTACAGAGAAAGAGTCCTTTTGAATAATGTAGCAATCAAGAGCAATGTTCTGTGGTATCCAAAATTATCTGGATTCTCAAGTTTCAACAGTTTTCTTTTTCTTTTTTTAAGTTTAAAAGTTGTTTTATATCTGAAAGTTACTGCAATTTCAAGTTTATGTACTATGATGTCTTTTTTTTTATGGTCAACAATGAAAACAAAATGATGGGCATGGTAATTTATATGAGGTAAAAAGAAAGGAGTGAAGAACCATAGTTATACCTTGTTTGATGATAGTTACAGTTGAATTGGTAACAAATCACATGACTCTTAATGGTAGGTCATGTGACAGATCATGTGACAGGTCACGTGACTGATCAGAAAATTGCTTCAGTCAGCACCAGTATTTTAAATGGTGTTCAAAATAGAAGCATTATGGTAAGTTCATTGTCCTCAGTTATAAAACATTATTCCCCAAGAAAATGTAGGAGGTCATTTATTTGGGGATTTGTTGATTTTGTACTTTTTGTTGGTGCTTATCAAAAGAAATACTGTGCACTTTGCAAGCCATTCTCAAAGTTGAACAAAATTTGTTGTCACATGTATTACAGTAAATAAGTCAGATGCATGTTTTAAAATTTTATTGTCCTACACAATACGTTTATAAAGCAGTGAATGTGCTTTAAAGTAACATTAAAAATTAGCATTGTTATTATAAAAGCTCATTTAGGCACTGTTTACAGAACACAAGGAACAGTTATTACAGTCCATCTGTGAGAAGAGCAATCAAGCACAATGTTTTTTACATGTACAAATAGTTTCACTAGGAAAAAGGTGAAACAAAATGATATTGTAAGTAGTAATTTTACGTATACATGTAAATATACACAAATGTGTAAATAAACCATTATATTTCATCATTATGTGTACCGTATTTACATTGATCTTCATTACTGTGGGGCCAATGTTTGCTATGTATTAGATGTGACAGTGTGTTAGATGTGACAGCGTTAGAGGTGTGAGAGTAGGAAATGTGTGATATCATTTTAGGTCCAATTTTTCTTGTTAGTATTTTACCTCGATAACAGTGCAGTAGTCGGTATCCCCCCACCCCCCTTTCTTCCCAACAGTCTCTTTCTTCCTAACCATAGCCTACCAACAAAAACAGAAGAAGCAAAACGACATTAAACAGTATTACACATACTTGCATAAACATACGTCTATCGCAAAAAAAGTGAAATTGTTTCCATCACTGTGTTATATTTGTGTTGAGNTGGAGGTGTGAGAGTAGGAAAGTTGTGATATCATTGTAGGTCCAATTTTTCTTGTTATTATTTTACCTCGATAACAGTGCAGTAGTCGGTATCCCCCCACCCCCCTTTCTTCCCAACAGTCTTTTTCCCTTTCTTCCTAACCATAGCCTACCAACAAAAACAGAAGAAGCAAAACGACATTAAACAGTATTACACATACTTGCATAAACATACGTCTATCGCAAAAAAAGTGAAATTGTTTCCATCACTGTGTTATATTTTTTGTTGACTGACCTACTGGGAAAGATCAGTTTTACTTTCTGCCCCCCGCCCCCTCACATCAAGTCCTGGGCCCGGTGTCACATTGTGTTAGTTGAGCTTTTTTTGACAATGTGTTAGGTGTGACACAGCTCCACTCCCCTCCCTCCCCTTTCACCCCATCTCACACATATAAGCGGTGCTGCTCATACATCGGGAATTGCAGTCCACCCAGTCCGAGTTGGACCTCCTGAACATGACGTAAGCCTCCCAATTCGTCCACTCCGAGAAGGTGACAAAGTCCGGCCGGGTCAGACTGAGCCCACTGTGGACCCAGGTACGTTCTTGGGTCCCCGTCAGTAGCCCGCCCATCCAGACGTACGTCTTAGTAGCTAGAAAGGAATGCATCAGACGTAAGAATTTATCTGCCAAATCGAAATTCTTAGGGATATTGTTACCAGTTATTTTCGTCCAGATACCGAAAATGTTTTTTTTTCCTGCTACTAATTATCCAATAATACATCTATCTTTATGCTGATTTAGAACAATGTAAAAACTGGAAAATTTAAGTCTTAGAAGCAGGAAAGAAATGCGTTAGACGTCAGTATTTATCTGCCAAATCGAAATTATCAAAAGATAAAAGTTATATATTTTCCCAGTCACGAACTATTGGTTGACACGTCATTGCATTTGGATTTGACGTTTTGTACATTTTTATGGTTCGTTTCTGAAATACGAACTTGGAAACTAGACTCAAGACACTAAATTCAGCGCCTCTTTTCATTTATAAATTTTTTTTCTTCAAACCGCATAAATTGTCGCAACATGCCTTATAGTTCGGGTGTTATTTATATATTAAATTTATGTAATTAAATTCGTCTATTCGAAGCAAATAACAAATATACAAGTTACTAATTGAACTAAAATACATAACGATAGATATAAAAATGGCACAGTTTGAAACAGGCATTTTAAAAACGTTTTCATATACAATATACTGATTTTAGATCTTCGAAATTGAAACCCTCACAATGCAAGTTCTCATCCCAGTACAGGGGCGGATTATTGGGGCCGGCTTCCGGAAGACGGTATAAGATTTTAAAGTTCACATCGACGGGTATCTATTTTTTTTCCTGTCGGAAGATGGTCAAACATGGAGGATGAAAAGATCTACCCCTTCAGTACTTACCCCCCTCTGCCAGGAGGACACTCGCGATAAAGTCGTTCTCCTCCTCCGTCATAATCTCGAGCAGATAAGCTCCCATTGACTCGCACGTGCTCCGTGCCACGGGCCAATCAATTGACGTGTTGTTGTAGTAGTAGCAGTGGCCTTCAAACTTGTGGATGAACTGTGGCGGGCAAGTAATGTTTTTGTTTGCTGGAATGGAAAGGAATATACCGGCGTAACAGGAATGGAAGTCCTAGGAATGGAAGCCCCGGGGTCCCATATGTTTAGTACAGGTTAGGGTTAGTTGGAGTATAAAGCCTAAGTCCCAACCGAACGGATGGGCTGCGATGTCTGGTCTACGGCCAAAAAATGGGGAAAACGTGGGAGTTCGTGCGTAAGGAGCACGTCCATCGTGCGACTTTTGGAGGACGCAAACAGCACGTAGAAACTTTTTGACATGATCAACTCTTTGCAATCACTAATTACTTGATTCCTTCCCTGCGATCTAGCTACGTTCTAGTCGGACGCAAGGAACCTAAAAAACCGTGCGTCCAAAACGTAGTTGGGACCTAGGCTTAAGGGTTACAATGTGGGATGAATGTCACCTGTACAAAGTAATGGGAAGTGGACTACGGTTCCTAGCGGAGTTCCTGTTACACCAGTGTAACGAAAGTGAGAGTCCTTGACGCAGAAAGTCCGCCCTCCATTTACTTATAATGGTTAGGGTTAGCCTGAACTAAAGCCTATATCCCAACCGAACGCACGGGCTGTTACGTGTGCTCTACGGCCAAAAAAATGGGGAAAACGTGGGAGTTCGTGCGTGAGGAGCACGTCCATCTTGCGACTTTTGGAGGACGCAAACAGCACGTAGAAACTTTTCACCAATTACTTGATTCCTTCCCTGCGATCTAGCTACGTCCTAGCCGGATGCAAGGAACCTAAACCGTGCGTCCAAAACGTAGTTGGGACCTAAGCTTAAGCTACTCTTACAACCNCGCTTCACTTGCAATACACGTACGATTTTCTCACTCACTGTGTGCGACACGAGTACTTCTTCCTACTTCCAAAAAAAAAAGGCGTACAGACCACTTGCGGGCCCCACGTTTAGAGCACGACACACCTACTCATAAAGTACTTACTACTTCGTCCGCTGCGATTTAATTTTCATCCTGCGACAACGCTACGTCTGACGAGAACTCCGAGGACGCACGATCTCTAAGCACGCACGACGGGTTGTAAGAGAGGCTTTAAGTGGGGCTTACCTGTACAAATGAATGGGAAGCGGACTCTCTGTCAAGGGGGGGGGGACTCTCACACTCTCCACATCGGGAAATGAAAGTTCATTTTGAATAATTTATGTTGATTTCTTTGATTTGATCAGTGGAATGCATAAATGCCGATATGCGTAAAAACAACTGTGAACATTTTTTTGTAAAGTATCTCTTGCTTTATTTGGGTCTTCTTTCTGTTGACGAATTAAATATCACTAACATGATACTTGACATTTCGAAACAGAAAAAGACCACGTCACATTCTGACATGACATGACATCAATTTTTTCTGCGTTGAAATGGGCATCAAACATTGGTTAGCTAGCTTATCTCGACTAAAATGTCCGTACTTTTATTTTGTACTTTTTATTTGATAAATCAATGGTCCGAAAAAAAAAGCGCTGACAGCATGTAATGAAATATCACCAAAGTACAGTGTGTGATCACAATAAAAGCCTGAAAATTGGTAGAAACATTTGATCTTAAATCGTGGATAAAGTTTGATTCAGTACAACATAAGTCCACTTCAAGTTAACATCGTTGTGAAATATAAGCCATATCTTAACTGCTATATATAAAACTTTTCGTATATCACTGAACTACTACTAGATCAATTTCAATGTGTGTCAAAGAAGTCTAAAATTTTGGTCTAAATATTTAGAACAATTTTTGGGCTTCAGTTATTTTTGAAACAGACTCCTCGCCAATTTGAATCTTCGGGTCACACATTTTTAGAGTAAATTCAACATGTAAAATTATTTTATGTCTTTCAGGCATTACAACACATATACTGTACACATAAGGGTACTTACATTCCGTCTCGACCTGGAAAAACATCAGAATAAAAGAATAAAAGTTTTATTTTTTAAAGCTACAATTAAAAGGTGTCATGGTTTTGTTGCCCAAAGTATTTATGAAGAATAAATACAGTTCTTAGACGTAGAATTAACGTGGTGTGTCTTTGGGGAATTGATGAAATGTTAAATGTTTAATTTATTATTATTATTTTATTATTATTTTGCCATATGAATGTCTAACGCATGAAATATTTTTTAAAATTTCAAAACGCCACGAAATATCTTTGAAATGTATGGTTTCAACTTACCTTCTCAACATATATGAAGCCCTGCCTATACGCCAGCGCGTTCGCTGCCGCTTTTTCCGTGTTCAGTTCGCACACCCATTCTTCCCCAGCTTTCCCTAAGTTAACAGAAGCGCACTCCGGTTCATCCAGACAATATAACGTGCACTCCAGTTTAGATCGAATCTTGGGACGGGACAAAATGGACCCAGATAGAGCGAGATTCACGTTGCTGGAACCCTCTACTGTCTCCGGTATATCAAACATGGCGGCGATTTGGCCGTCGGCTTGACAGTGTACGCGAACGACGGCGGGCAGCAGTATGAAGAGAGATAGCGCACTGCAGCGGAGTAAGGAACCCATGGCAGCAATAGGACTACTCAGCGGCGAAGTTGTCCAATATCAGAATTACTTTAAGTGTAACTTTGCAGCCAGCCCCAGTAAAAAGACATGCGGTAAGTGTTGGCGGTTCGTAAATCAAAGGAACTATTAAAGTCTGGGAAACGCGCTTGTGATTATTAAAAAGTTCGCAGGCTTGAAGTGCCTTTCGGCGTACAACCGACAGCTTTTGAGCGCTCTCTGCGGGACGTTCAGCTCTAACTGTTGCTTTGTCTGAGGAAACGCTTGTACTTGAATAAATATACAAGGCATTGAAATTCTGTGAATCTCACAATTCTGAGGAGGCATTGATTTGTAAGGTTCCACACAGCTGGTTCAATAGGCCAGCGGTGTCCCAGTAGGCGATGTATTATTTCAATGGGAAAGAACATATGAAACAACACACTTTTTATGCCACTTGGTCGTAGACCCGAAAAATAATATTTATTTTTAATGTTCCAAAAGATCGACAGTATTTTTATGTTAACAATGGGATGAACTAACTGAGATGTTTCCAGATTATATAAACAAACCAGTGTTTACTGCCCAAAATACGACGTTATGCCCAGTAGGGCTGCTGTGATTTAAATGTCGATGATTAAATGTAAAGACTTGAAAAAGTGCCCTTTTTAGGCTCAACGGGCGATTTTTTAAAAGTTTATTTATATAGGTCTATTATTAATGTGTGTGTGTATGTGTGTGTGTGTGTGTGTGTAAATGGAGCGGATTGTGATAGTTACCCGTTGAATGACTTCTTTATTATTGGTTTTAATCGCTTTTAAACATTTTTAAGTAATTATAATTGCAACGAATTTACGTATTTAAAGAACCGCGGTGTCTAGGGTAACAGTTATATCAGTTCATTTTATGTAACTGAAGTGAAATAAGGTAGTCAAAAAGCTAAAAAATATCTGCGAACAGGAGGAATCCTGATTGTTTAATAAGAAAACGGTCTATACGGTGATTTTAATAATAATAATAATAATAATAATAATAATAATAATAATAATAATAATAATAATAGAAGTAGCATTAGCTGTAGTAGTAAAGAAGCAATTGGCAAATAAACTAATAGACACATCGTACAAAAAAAGGTAAACGAAGACACATTTTAATTTTAAAAAGCTGAAATGGAGTGAAATAAAATCTAAGCGTGCAAATTTGTCAAACACTAGCGGGATATTGAGCCCTGGATTGCGTGAAATAAACCTGGCTTTGAATAATTTAGATCTATTGTGTGGATTATCGACGTGTTAAAACACTTTTCTTTATAAAACACTACATTATCATGTATAGCCACAGAATGTAGGGGACGCGGGTCATCTTCTTAATTTCAATTCTCTAAAGTCTCTAACACTAATAAAGGGGGGGGGGGCGAGATTAAAAATAATTTTTCTCTCCTCGTTTTTTTCTTTTTTGCTTTTTATATAACTAAAAATTCGATCTCCATTTTTTATTGACAAGAATATATCATCAGCAATCATATAATGCTAGCATCCATGACAAACAGAAGATTAATCTTTGCAGTTGTATCCTCTACGCACTCACTAACACACAAATAGTCTACGCTTATATATATATATATATATATATATATATCTGGGTACACTGATTAAAATGAAAAAAGATACTCTATCGATCTACAGTATGTCAGAACAACACCGTCCCATTCGTAACATTACAAATCCGACTACAACATATAGCTTAAACGAGGACGCTGTAGGTTATGACTCTTTAAATTTGAACACCCACCCTTCTTAACTTCATATATTATCAATGTTGCATGTCGAACATTGAAATACCTAATATGAAATTATTAATTACTTGCTTATTTGATTTTTTTATTATTTAGTGTAATCTAATATGCGATTAAAGCAAACTGCTAATATAGGTAGCTTCTTTTAAAACAACCGATGGGATTATTTCCCAACCATGAAAGCTGTTCTCTCTCTCTCTCTCTCTCTCTCTCTCTCTCTCTGTGTGTGTGTGTGTGTGTGTGTGTGT